ACTAAGAGAAAGAAGGCTGACTTCCCTTGGGATTATCAGGCTTAGCATGTAGTCTAATTTGCCTGATTCATTAATTAAAACTCTTAAAATTTAAAAAAAAAGCAGATGCATAAAATATATCAGAAGCTGGTTTCAGCGAGACGCTGTTCACCACATTCTGTGTCTTGGTGAGTATGGGCAGTGCAGGATTCCTCAGCCACTGCTGCCCTGGTTCTGGATGTCTCTGGAGCACTGTGCCACTGAGTCCCCACTTACTTACCCGTCCTAGCGCCTCACAGGGTTGATGTGAGGGTTCAGTGAGTGAGTACATGGAGGTCGTAAGCACCTTTTACATCTGGGAAGCACCTGATCCATGTCAACTCTGAGGCTGATAAAACAGGAGGAGGAGGAAGCAGCATTTCTTTTGACCAGACTGGTCGAGTTACTCGTTATACCCCTTCCCTGCCCACAGGTAATATTGGAAAAAAAGAAATTAACTCGAGTTGCCTATTAACATTAACAAACTAAAGAGAGAGTTTGTAGACTGGACAGGGAGAGAATGAGGCCTATGAAACTGCAGGGTAGACGCAAGGGAGCAGAGCCGAGGCCTGAGTTCCTGCTGACCTTTTCCTTTTATCTCCTGGGGGCCATCACAGTATCTGTCTCCCACTCTACTCGCACCGTCTATGACGCGAACAGAAGTCCTTTGTTTTGCATGTGTACCCCATGGTTCCCATCCCTTAGGGTGTTCTCTTTGCCTGGAATACACTTCCTCCCAACACTTCACGCCTGACCCTATCCATGTTTCCGGAATCAGCTCATTTCCTTCAGGAAGCTTCCGTGCCCGGAGTCATACTTCCTTGGTCCAACCCCCTATCTCAAATAGCTATTCCTTGCTCTGACCCTTCCTTCCTTCTACCTTAGCCTACGCCTTTGTACCCATGCCTCCTCCCCTGCACTATGAGCATGTGCAGGAAAGGATGTTGGCCTTTTTCCCTCTTTGTGTTTCTTCTACTTTCCCATGCCTTGCACACAGCAGGCAGGCACTAATTCTAATTAACTGTGGGTTAATGTGTCAATGAGCCTTTGCTTGGCAACAGTCTCCATTCAGGACAAGTGTCTTCTCCCAATCCCCTCCCCGCTACCCTCTACCTCGTCCTTTGACTTCTCTCACCCAACAGCCAGCCTCAGGCCTCCCCAGCTCCTCATTGGCCTGCAGACCGGGGGAGGCATCTCCCTGGGCCACGGACGGCACCCACGTCGTCATCATCCACCGGAAAACCACCGCCTCCTTTACCATAAACAGTCTTACTTATTTGGGAGAACTGTGCAGGCTGAGTGTCGGAGGCATCTTCCTCCTGCGTGGGAGAGGTGAAGGCACGGTGAGGAGGGCGCCGCGGCCGCAGGACAGCCCCTGACATGGAACGCGTCTTGGGGATGCAGGTGCAGGCCCCCCTGGGACTCAGCACGCCGTGCGCTGGCCGGGGCCCTTTGACCGCTGTGAGGCTTGGCAGAGGGGTTTGACTGAGAGCCCCTCTCCCGGGTGGTGGGATTCCCTGGACCACCCCACACTCCAACTGCCACTCCCCTAACTGTCGCTCAGAACTTTGCTTCTCGATCCCAGCACCTGCCTGTCCATGGGAGGCCTGCTGGCTTAGGAGCCGGGAAAGCTTTTGCAGGACTAGGTGAAAGCATTCTGTTATTTGGGCACCCGCCAATTACAGTTTCATGAGGAAAACTCAGCTGCCTTTGTGTTTTGTTTGCTTGGTTTTCAGCGCTTTGACCATTTTGCTGTCTCTCGCCCTTCTCATCCGCAGGATGGCCGGGGAAGAAACCTCCCTGGTGGTTTGAGCAGCTTTTAATGCTTCTCAGCTGTGTGTGAAGATTCCTTTCCTCAGAGGAGCTCCAGACTTTATCAAAAAAGAGAAATATTTCTTATTTTCTTCAAAATGTAAATATTTATTTTTATATATATAATAAATGCTCATTACAAAAATTTATACAATTCAGAAGTATTCGCCAACTCTGCTGTGGTAGAGATAACCATATTAATAGTTTGTAGTATAGCTCCTCAGTCTCTGGAACTGTATAAACCATCAATGTGATCTCACTAAATATCATTCTCTAAACTGACTTTTAAAATGTAAAAGTGTATTGAAGTAAACTTACCACATCAATCCATATATACCTGCCTTTTCATTGCCAACATTAATTTAACCATTTCTTGATGTTGGATATTTAGCCTGTTTTAAACATTTTGCAGGTATTGACAATGAATGATGTAATGAACCTCCTTATACATGTATGGTTGCCTGTTTGTGGGGATATTTTTATAGGATAAACTCCTAAAAATGTAACTAATGGATCTCAAGTAAGGCACCTTTGTATTTTTGGTAGGTGCTTCTAAATTACCCACCAAGAAAGGTTTCATACCCGCCAGTTGCTGTACGGTTCTGTCAGGGCTGATGTAGCCGCGGGGCGGAGCAGGCGCGTCGCAGGGCCCATGAGGGTGTCAGGGGTCATGAAGATATTTTAACTTCCTTTAAAATCAGGAGAAAAAAAATAATAATCATGAATTTATAATATACAATGAATCCAGATTGGATTGTATGTTTTATATACCAATGCAACTATAAAATATGGTTTTTCATATTTTTTATGGAAAGGGGACCAGGAAGGCAGGTGTGTACAGGACCTGCAAATTATAATGCGGCCCTGGGTGACTCATTTCCTCCACACCCCTGTGACTCTGAGAATTATATGTACATTTATATTCACTTTTGCTAGTCTTTTATGTAAACAAGAAAAAGGACATTTCACAATTGTTTGTACTTGCACTTCTTTGGTTATTTGTGAGGTAGGTATCATCTCCTAAGTTATATAGGTATCATCTCTTAAGTTTACTGATCATTTCAATTTCCTCTATTAATTGCTTGTCTATTTATGTTATTTTCTCATCTTTCTATTCAGTTGCTCACTTTTTCTTTGTTACAAAGTTTGGTTTTTTTTTTACAGTATAGTAAATATTGCAAATTTTATTTTCACAATTTTGCATTTCAGATTTACTGGTATCTTTTGGTCATGATATTTAAAGTGTTCCTGTTTCCCAAATCTGTTGAGCATTTCTTCTATGGCATTATTCTTACAAAGGCTTAGATAAATATTCGTTGATATTTTCTTGTAGAATATCTATGGCTATTATTATTTATAAAATACCTTTAATTCCTCTGGAATCTCTGGAATGCATTTTTGTAAAAGATGTGAAATAGTTCTTAAACTTTGTGTTCCAAGCATAGCTAATTGTTCCAACATCATAGGACAATAATTTAAAATACCATTTTTATCAATTATTAAATATAGACGAGTGTATTTCTTGGATCTCTTCCATCCTTGTGATCCATTTATCTATTGCAAGGCTAGCACTCCACTTTGAGCTATAGCTTTATGATATTTTGATTTCTGATCAGGCAAATCACTTCTCCCTGGCCCCCCTCCGCTCCGTAAGGAGCATGGTATTTTGTTCAGACCTATTTACAGACATTTCCTATCTTGTCTAAGCCCCTGATGTCTCCGCAATCTCCTTCTCAGACGCCCGCTTGGCTCCCTTTGTGGGACAGGAGGCCAGCAGCGGGGGCTCGTCTAAGTCTCCTGGTCCCTGTGGGGTTTATGGGGGCCTTCTCTCTTGCCATTTTTGGTCAATTCAGTACTGGTTTCCAAAGAACTGTGTTCTGCTGCAAATCATGGTGGCAAAGCCCACCGCAATCCCGTCTCTGGATTTCTGGTCTCTTCGCTTCCACTTTTGCTTCCTGCTGCTCACTTTCCACGCTGAGCCTGGTGCAATCTTTGTAGTCATAGCCCTGTGATTCCCTGTTCTATTTGTTACTTATTGCTGCTGTAACAAATTACTACAAACGGATTGCCCTAAAACAACACTAATTTATTATCTGAAAGTCAGAAGTCCAAAATCAGATGCCCTGTGCTAGAACCAAGGTGTCGGCAGGGCTGCATTCCTGTCTGGAGACTCAAGGGGAGGATATGTTTCCTATCTTTTCCAACTTCTAGAGGCCTCCTGCATTTCTTGGCCTGTGGCCCCTTCCTTCATCTGCGAAGACAGTAACTCTGTCACTCTGAACTCTGCTTCTGTTGTCAATCTCCTTCTCTGACTCTGAGATCCCTGATTCCCCCTTATAAGTATGATCATAAAGACACTTGTGATTCTATTGGGCTCATCCAGATAATCCAGGATCCTATCCCACCTCAAAGTCCTTAGTCATACCTGCAACTTTCCTTTTGCCATGTGAGGTACCATAACCACAGGTCCCAGAGATTAGGATGTGGACATCTTTGGGGGACCATTATTCGGCCTACCACAGCCGTGGCCTTCTGGATGAACTTGGCTTGCCAGGCTGTTAGTGACATGCTCCTCTGCTTAAACTCATTCTGCTTTCCCTCTTTGAACTCGCTGGAGCCTTCACTCTGCTTCTGCCAGTCCTGGTCCAGGCTGATTCCCCTGCCTGGGAAACCCTTTCCCCTCCTCTTCACCTGGCCAGCTCCTACTCACCTTGCAGCCTTGGCTTAAACGTCACTTTTTCTGAAAGCTTTTAACAGCCTCTTGTACTGCTTGATTGTTCTTCCAGACTTTGTTAGAGGCTCTCATACTAGCCTGCATTGTTCCTGGCCCTGCTCATATTCTTATTTGTTCAGTTATGTTCTCTTCCAACATATATGCTCTCTGAGGGTGGAGGTAATGAGCGCAGCTGCACATGTGGCATATAGAGGAAACTTATAACTCCTTGCTGAATGAGTTTATAAATGTATTGATTTCATAATAGAATGTAAGTAGTTTTACTCTACAGGCAGCATCTTAAAAGTATTTGTTCATCATTCATTGAACAAGTATTTATTAAGTACAACTTCCTAAGTACTGAACCAGGGGAATTAAAATAAGGAAAAGTTCCCTTGAATGGTATGAGGATGCTATGGTTGTAGTGGTATGATCATAAGGACCCGAATAACAGTTTTCCCCCTTCAGGAAAATGGACTTGGAGTACAGTGAACCAATAGACCTTAGTGCTGGAGATCATCAACATCTGATCCGGAAAGCAGCAGATGGGAACATCCAGACCAAATCTGATCAGCCATATGAAACTCCTCCTTCCCCTGGGCCGCCACAAACTCATGGGAAGCCACATTCCAAGGCTAGTCGGCAAGCGGATCCCTACGTGGTGCAAATTTCTGATGAGAGCACCCCCAGTGACAACAACAATTTAGCCAACCCATTCTCAGAAGTGTCTATCCGCAGAGGTGAGAGTCAAGAAATTACCTTTTTGGGAGAGAAAAGCCAAAGTTCTCTTATATATTTCCACAGAGTGGACTGTCAGAAACATTGAATTTTGCTCCCAGCTTTCCCCAGTCATGCTCCACCGTGGGACACAGCGTAGGGCCGCTGAGATCGGCCACCCCCAGGTTGTCCAGGGCATTCAGAAATCCCTAATGAACATATCTTAGTGAGAAACTGGTGGTTTTCTTAGGAAATATGAATTAGATATGAATCGACTATAGCATGTTCTTACCTACATACAATGTAATGCCATAATATTGGCTTAAGTTTTAAAGAATATTAATTCAATGCCCTAGATATTAATTCCGTACAGGAAATATAACATCCAATTGGGAGTAAAGAAACCTAAAAACTGTAGCTTAAATAAATGAGAAGTATTTTTCTTTCACGAAATATGAAATCCAAAGGTAAAAAAATTCAAGGCAAATGCCACAGGTCCCTGTAACTGCTCTGCCCTTCTTAAGGTCAGACAACTTGAAAGAAGACTGTGAGCTTTGAGTCCCACAGCTGTCTCCTTCTGGCCCTCACCCTCCTTGTGGCTGGAAGGATGCCTTTTGGCGCTCCAGCCTTCTGGGTAGGGAACAGCAAAGGCAAAAAAAGGCCAAGGCTGGTCTGCCACCTTGACTCCAGGGGCCGCCATTCACTGACAGACGTCCTGCGCATCCTCCAGATCCAGCCTCTGTTCAGAAACCACACGCAAGATTTTCCAATCACATGGCATTGCCCCTATCTGGACCACGGAGCCACTTCGCTCTGTGGTTTCAGTTGGGTCCATTGCCACCTTTAACGAAATCTGGGTTAGATAGTGAGGACATTGGGGAGAATGGATGTCACTAAGCAACCAGCCACCTCTGCCCATCCTTTGTCACTGCGTGTTGCGCAACAGGAACATTACTGCATTTAATCCTTACACCTCTGTAAACGAAGTCTTTGCAGTGCCACTTCACAGGTGAGAAACTGAGGCTTAAGGGGTTGTAACTGAAAACATATGTAAAGCCTCCTCACCACTAGTAGAGTTAATTATGTGTATTTGCCCCCCCCCCGGGAGGGTGGAGGCTGCCCACAACCCCCCTAAAATTATATAGTCTATAAAAAGATGAAAATGTTATGGAAAAAAAAGGAAAAGTATAGCAGAGTAAGGGATTAAGAGTTATGGGGATAGGGAGCTACAATTTTTAAAAACAGCTTTACAGAGATATATATTACACATCATAAATTTCACCCCCTTTTTAAGAGTACAACCCAATGATTTTTAGTATATTTACAGAGTTTTGCAACTATTGGTACAAAAAGAAACCCACATCCATTAGCAGTCACTCCCCATCCCTTCCTCCCCAGTCTCGGCCAACCACTTCTCTACTATCTGTTTCTATGGATTTGCCTATTCTAGATATTTTATAGAAATGGAATCATATAATATGTGGCCATTTGTGATTGTCTTCTTTCACTTAGCATAATGTTTTCAAGGTTCACCCATGTTATGGCATGTGTCAGTACTTCATTCCTTCTTTATGGCTGTATAGTATTCCATTGCCTGGAAAGAACTCATTTTGTTTATCCATTTCTCAGTAGACAGTTGGATTGTTTCCACTTCTTGGTTATTATGAATAATGCTGTGATCAACATTCACATATAAGTTTTTGTGTAGACACATGTCTTCATTTCTCTTGGGTAGGTACCTACAAATTGCTGAGCTATATGGTAACTTTATGTTTAATATTTTGAAAAACTGCCAAACTCTTCCAAACAGACTGAACTTTTTTTACATTCCAGTCAGCAGTGTATGAATGTTTCTGTTTCTCTGCACCCTTATCAACACTTGTTTTCCAAAGAGACTGAACTTTTTTTACATTCCAGTCAGCAGTGTATGAATGTTTCTGTTTCTCTGCATCCTTATCAACACTTGTTTTTGTCTCTTTTTATTACAGTCATTCTAGTGCGTGTGAGAGGATATCCCATTGTAGTTTTGATTTGCATTTTCCTAGTGACTAATTGATGTTGAGCATCTTTTCACATGCTTATTGGCTATTGAAAAAAATGTCTATTCAAATCCCTTGTCCACTTTAAAAAAGAAATAATGATTTCATTAGCTCTCATGATTCTGTGAGTTGGCTGGACTCAGTCGGGAAGTTCTTTTACTTGTTGTGACTGGCGGCTCCTATGCAGTTTCAATCAGATGGTGGCTGAAGATGCAATGGCTCTTAAGACTCCCTGCCATGGGGGGCAGTTGGTGTTGGTTTTGTGGATCTCTTCCTGTGACTTGAGCTTCTGTCACATGGCAGCTGGGTCCCAGGAAGAAGTCTGCCCAGTGGAGAAGCCCCAGTGTACAAGGCATCTGTCAAGCCTCAGCTTGTAGTACAAATGCCAGCTTTTCACAGGGCAACTGAAGTCGTGTAACCAAGCTCAGCATCGATGTGGGAGGGCACCAACCCCATAAGCGTTGCCCATTTTTAATTGTTATTTGTCTTCTTGTTATTGAATTGCAATTATGTATTCTAGATATGTCCCTTACCAGATATATGATTTGCAATTTTTCCTCCAGTTTTTGGGTTTGCTTTTACTTTCTTGATGGTATCATCTGAAGTACAAAGCTTTCACTGTTGGTGAAATCCAACTTATTTGTTTCTTTCTTTCTTTGCTTAGGTTTTAGGCACCATGTCTTTAAAAACCATTGCCTAATCCATGCTCACAAAGATTCACACCTATGCTTCCTTTCAAGAGTTGTATTTCTTATGTTTATATCGCTAGTCCATTTTCAACTGACTAACTTTTGTATATGGATGACATGAGGAAGGGGTGCAAATGCATTTTTTGTAGGTGTAGGCCCAGTTGTCCCAGCACCTTTTGTTGAAAAAACTATTCTTCCTCCATTAAATTATTCTGGCACATTTGTTAAAAATCAATTGACCATAAACATAAGAGATTATTTCTGGACTTTCAATTCTATTCCATTGATCTAATGTCTAGTTTTATGAGGCTGGGCCACATTTAGTATTTCTTCCCAAACAGTCCCTGATACATAGATGTGGAATTAACGCTAACTAAGAGAATATTTTAATGTAGGCAGCACACATTTGGACTCATCCATATTCTGATATTTCCATTAAGATCGCTCAGGCCCATTTCTCTGTTGTCACACTTCCTATGCACAGAAACGCCCAGCAAAAGGACACAGCTGTGATCCTGTAAGTCAACTTCAAGCAGCATTTCTTCTTTTTCCTTTTAAAATGGGCATAAAGCGCCCTGGCTGGTGTGGTTCCATAGATTGAACACGGGCCTGTGAACCGAAAGGTTGCTGGTTCAATTCCCAGACTGGGCGCACGCCTGGGTTGAGGGCCAGGTCCATGGTTCGGGGGTGGTGTGCGAGAGGCAACCGATCACTGTTTCTCCTGCACATTGATGTTTCTCTCCCTCTCTTTCGTCCTCCCTTTTTCTCTCTCTAAAAATTGGCATAAAGCCACAAAAAAGGGTCTTACTTATAACTCATCAGGTTATCTAGTTTCTGCACAAGTAAAAGGGAAGGGAGTGGCTAAAGGCAGGCGTGGAGAGAAGTGGGGTTGAGAAGCTGCACAGACTCCCTGCAGCCCAAGTCCAGGCCCAGCGGGGAAACGCCCACTCTCCCAGACTTCACTCTGCGCCAGAGTGTAGCTGGATCCCTACAATAGATCTGCGACATCCTGCAACTTTCAGGTCACTTTCGGCCTGAAGAGGACATGGTGTGCATTATAAGGAATTACATTCCCAAGTTTGTATTTAAAATTTTGGGGCTTTCATGGATAAAGCTTCAGATCTCCAATAAAACACCTCAGACAATCCAGATTATTTCCCACGAGCTCTGCAGAGCTGTCTTTCTGTTGTTATTCAATCAGCTAACTATAAACTAGCACTTCCTTTCTCATTCTCAAAAAATCAGAGGAAAATTTTCTTTTGCTAATTATCGAAAACAGGCAATTTAGCCCTGGTTGGTGTGGCTCAGGTGGTGAAAACGTTGTCCTATAAACCAAAACGGTGCGCGTTTGATTCCTGGTCAGGGCCCTTGCCTCGCATGCGGATTCTGCCCCTGGTCTGGGTGCCTGTGAAGGGGAACTGATCGATGTTTCGATGTTTCTCTCACATCAGTATTTCTCTCCCTTTCGCTCTGGAATAAAAAAAAAAAATAGGTAATTTATACTTTTACTTTTGAATTTTATGTCATAAAAATAATGTTTCTGCCTCCTCAGCTTTCATTATGAAAGTGTTCCTCCTCCTGTCAGCTCAGCTGATGATCACTGGGGCAATTATCGGCACATTTCTTTTCTGGTGAGTCTTTATTACTGATGTAATTTAAATAGAGTTGTTCACACCATCATTGCAAACCATTTAGAGCTTCCCCCTTCTCATGAGATTGTTTTACTTCTCCTTGAATATTATATTAGTTACCAAAATTAACTACTTATTGAGTAAAACTATTCATTTTTCTAAAAACCAGGACAGGTTTAAGAGCTTGGGTGCGCAAGAATCCCTGGTTCACCTATGCAGTCTGGTAAGTATTACTGGATTTAATAAAAAGTAGTTTTTCTACTAGCTATTGATCGAGGTTCTTCATTAAAAATTAGGTAAAGATAGCCTGGGCCAGGTGGCTCAGTTGGTAGGAGTGTTGTTGCACACACCTAAAGGGCTGAAGGTTCAACCCCTGGTCAGGGTTCATACCGAGAGTGTAGGTTTGATTCTCAGTAGGGATGTGTACAGGAGGCAGCAGATTGATGTTTTTGTTTTTTGTTTTCTTTCTCTCTCTCTAAAACCAATAAACATACCCTTGGGTGAAGATTTTAAAAAATTAGGTAAAGACATAACATTCTTGAAATGACCAAATTACAGAGATGGAAAACAAGCAATTTAGTGGTTGCTAGGAGTTAGGGGTGGGGGTGTGTGTGAGCATGCGCAGGGGGCAGGGGTGGCACAGGGAGACCTTGTTGGTGTTTTAGTAATGGGATAGTTTCAAATCTTGATTGTGGTGCTGGCTTCCTGTATGTACACGTAGGTTTCTGTCACAGTTGTGTTATGGCATTATGTATGCACACTGCACCAATGGTCAAATTACTGGTTTTGGTATTACACTATAAATAATGTAAGATGTAACCATTAAGAAGAACTAAGTAAAGGGTACATGGGACTTCTCTGTCCTTTTGTAGCTTTCCGTAAATCCACAATTATTTCAAAATAAAAAATTTTGGAAAGAGCCCCAAAGCTGTCTGTGGATGGCAATGAGGAAAGTTAGTTTTAAAGGCATTAAAAAAAAAGGGATAAAATTAATAATTCACATTTTTGTTTCCTTTATAATACTTATCAGATAATATCACATAATGACATCTATATCTCTATCTACTTATAGTATCTCACAAGATATAATCTTTGGAAGCAAATAACACATGGTTTTCCATCATCCCCAGGCCAGTGTTTTTCGTTGTGCTCTGTGTACTCTCTTGCTGTGGGAAACTCCGCCGTCAGGTGCCCGCAAACTACGTCCTCTTGGGATTATTTGTAAGTAAGCCTTGTTAGCACCTGTCGAAGCTCACCTCCGAAATATTTGTTACATTATTAAATTCATTCCTTTTATTGTAGAAAAGCTTCCTGTAGAATAATACAGTTGAAAATTATTTGTGGGACATTCTCTTGGCTGAATTCTGGTTTCAACGAACTCATAAAATTACTTATGAGATAGTATCCACACCCTTTTAGAAAACTGGAGAATTGGGGCGCCCCGGGCTACTGCCCTCAGAGGCCACACGGGGAGCCCGCGCCCACACCCGAGCTGCACTTCAGGAATAGTGAACCCGACTGTCCCTGGTCCCTGCCAAGCACAACACACATATTTTGTTATGGAGAGTGGGTTCACGTTTAGTTTAGGAACTCATAACTTGTGTACAAAACAATGTAATTTTATTTTTGTAAGATTTATTTTATTTCTATTTCAAGCCTCGTTGGGGGCAGAAACCACCTCAGCTCACGTTCTCCCTACCTCGCCACCTCGCGCTGCAGTTCTGGAGAGCTGGGGCGAGGGTGCTCTGGCCCTTGGCTCTCTCTCCTTTATCCGTAGTCTGGTTCTTGATGTCACCAGCGCCCCCTCGTGGGGCCTCCACTCCGCAGGCCTTTTCTCTGTGGCTCAGCGCTGCTCTGGGCCACAGAAACCTGTGTGGCTCCTTTGTTTGCCACCAGTTCCTTTTTGAGCTGCCCAGGGGGACTCTAGGTTCTCACCAGCTCTGAGTAGGTACCAGGAGCTCCTAGATTTTTAAAACCTAAATAAAATCTGAGTGTCTATCATTTTACCCCACCCTACCCCAGCAGAGATCACAGGGCTCCGTCCTCCTCAGGGACTCAGGAGCAGTGAAGCATCATTCCCCCTTCCCCTGACTCTTCGTCTTGCTTCCCAGTCAGCCACACCTCTGGCCGCCCCTGTCTCTGGAGGTGGTGGTCTCCATGAAAATCACTGATAGTGAGCGTTTGCCCTCTTGAAAAATCCAAAAACAGTCTCAGTGTGACTCTGTGTGTTGGCAAGTGATTCTTTCTGGGAGAGTTAGTGTGTCCTCCCAACCACTGTAGATGACCATCCCATGTGAAGATTCATTTTCCAAATGAGGGGACTTCTGGTCAAGATGGCAGCATAGGCAAACACGGCGCACCTCTTCACACAACCACATCAAAATTACAACTAAACTACAGAACAACTGTCACTCAGAACTATCAGAAACCAAGGGGGATGGAAGTCCAACAACGATAGAACTAAAGAAACAACATCCATCCAGAGTGGTAGGAGACTCAGAGATGCAGAGACATGGAATAGGCTGGTCCAACACCCACATGTAGTGGACAAAAACTTGGGAGGGATATCTTTGGAGTGAGGGGTCACAGACCCACACCAAGCCCCACAGCCCAGGGTTCCAGCACCAGGGAGATAAGCCCCTATAACTTCTGGCTGTAAAAACCAGTGGGGTTTGAATCAGTAAAAGGAACTACTGGAGTCCCAAGCAGTATCTCTTAAAGGGGCAGCACAGAGACTTGCTCAGACTCATTCCCTCTGAGCTCCAGCACCAGGGTAGCAGCTTGAAAGGCACTAGTAGCATACAGGGAGGAACTTAAGTGTCAGAGCAAGAGCTAGGAGACAACTTTTGCCCCAAAAGAAATGTAGGCAGAGGTCATTGTCACTTTTCTGAGTCCTTCCCCCACAGAGCCAAAGAGCCACAGAGCCACAGAGCCCGCAGGTGGATGCCATATCTGAGACTCCATCGACCTGGCTCACATGGTTTGTTCCACTCTAGGGAATGCTTGAGGCTCCATCCCACCCAACTTACAGCCCACTCAAGCTGTTAACAGTGGCTTTTCCATATGAATGACTGGTCTTGGCTCATGCTTCACATCTTCCTAAATTCTCTCAAACAAGCAACAACCAGCCTAGCAAGTCTCCAGCCCCTGTACTTCTGGCTGAGTGGCCTCAGGCCCAGCATTAGCAACAACCAGCTTTGGATCATAGTTTCGCTTTGTTTGGGAATTTCCAAGCGCAGAACAAGTAGTAGCCATTTGCAGATTGCTTTGTAGCTCATGCTGGCTGGCATTGGGTGGAACATAGGTAGTGGCTGACCCTGGCCTCCACCACGCAGGAAATCTCAGAGCCTGCATGCCCAGTGGACAGCTACAGACCATGTAGAAGTGCTAACACCCATGGAGGATAGAGGTTGGTGTTCAGTGTTCAAAGCCAGTCCTTGTAGCTGATGGGCCTGAGTAAACCCCTCCCATTGACCTGCCAACAGCAATCAAGGCTCAACTACAAGAGGAGGCTGTACTCAGCCCACATGGAGGGTGCACCTTGAGTACCCAGCTTGGGTGATAGGGGAAGCTGTACCACTGGACCCTACAGGACACCTACTACATTAGGCCATTTTACCACCACAGGGAGTCATAGAAGCTCTACCTAATAAATAGAAAGAAACACAGGGAGGCTGCCAAAATGAAGAGACAAAAAAACATGGCCCAAATAAAAGAACAGGTCACAACTCCAGAGAAAGAACTAAACTAAATTAAGATGAGCAATTTATCTGAAGCACAGTTCAAAACACTGGTTATAGGGATGCTCAAGGAACTCAGTGAATTGCTCAACAGCTTAAAAAAAGACCCAGGCAGAAATTAAGGATAAACAAATGGAAATGAAAAACAATTTACAGGGAATCAACAGTAGAATTGATGAAGCTGAGAATCAAATCAATGATATGGAACATAAACAGACAAACAAATAAAAATCAGAACAAAAAGAAGAAAAAAGAATCCAAAAAAATAAGTGAAGTATAAACAACCAATGGGACAACTTCAAGCATATTGACATTTGCATCATAGGGGTGCCAGGAGGAGAAGAGAAAGAGGAAGAAATTGGAAACCTATTTGAAAAAAGAATGAAAGAAAACTTCTCTAATGTAGTGAAGGAAAGAGACATGCAAGTCCAGGAAGCACAGAGTCCCAAACAAGATGGATGTAAACAGGCCCACACCAAGACACATCATGATTAAAATGCCAAAAGTAAAAGATAAAGAGAGAATCTTAAAAGCAGGAAGAGAAAGCAGTTAGTTTCCTACAGAGGAATTTGCATAAAACTGTGAGCTAATTTCTCAAAAGAAACTTTGCAGGCTAGAAGGGATTGGCAAGAAATAGTTAAAGTCATGTAAAGCAGGGTCCTGCAGCTAAGATTGCTCTACCCAGCAAAGCTATCATTTAGAATGGAAGGGCAGGTAAAGAGCTTCCCAGACAAGAAAAAAAACTAAAGGATTTCATCATCATCAAAGCATTATTATATGAAATGTTAATGGGACTTACTTAAGAAAAAGAGAAAGATCAAAAGAAAGATTTTATTTTATGAATAAAATGGCAATAAATACATATGAACATTTGACTCTTAAAAAAACAAACTAAGCAGACAAGAAGAACAGAGACAGAATCATGGATATGGAGAGTGTTTTGATGGTTGCCATATGGGAGAAGGGTTTGGGGTAACAGGTGAAGAGGTGAAAGGATTATGAAGTACAAATAGGTAGTTACAGAATAGCTGTGGGGATGTAAAGTACAGTGTAGGAAATGGAGTAGCTAACGAACTTATTATACACATGACCCATGGACATGAAAAACGGTGTGGGGACTGCCTTTGTGAGTGGGAGGTGCTGGGTAGGGGGCAACGGGGGAAAAATTGGGACAACTGTTACAGCATAATCTATAAAATATAATTTAAAAGAAAAAGATTCATTTACCAATTAATTTATTCCTCACCTGGTTGCATGCGAGTCAGATTTGAAGTAGCTTATAAAAATACCCACAATATAAATTAAGAACAAACTAGTGGGAATAATTATAAACTAGGGAAATTTTTGCAAAGTTAATGGCAACTTTGTTTCCAGTTACTCATCCAACAAAGGATGAATTTGATAAATTTTTAAAAAGATAAATTAGTGAGGAAATATGATGGAAAATAAAATAAGGGTAGGGAAAATAAAGCCAGTAGGTAGATTAGTATACAAAATGCATAGTTCTGTGAGTGTTGAATCTGGATTTGGATCTGCGCCTCCTGGTGGTCAAAGTGAGCAAGGACACATGGCCCATGGTGATAACACCCATAACTGTGTACAGAGCATCCAGTGTGATTTCCATGTCGGGGAGAGTAGTTTCTTCCGTGGCTGGAGAGGGCTAGCTCCGTGATGCCCACATTCGGGCATTTTCTCATTTGCCAGAGCATTGAGGGGACTTTCTTAGCTGGCGTGGATACCTGTTCATTGACCAGGTGAGCTAGTGGGGTCTCCCGGTTCCTGCATAGACCACACTCAGTAAGGGGTCGGGGGTTAAAAGCCAAACAGAAAGATACTGAGAATTTTAGAGCAGAAGCAATGGGGCTGGGGGTGTGCGGGAACGGGGGGTATTTTTATAGAAATTTTTTACTTAAAAATTTTCAATGGTTTTGGCCCTGGCTGGGTTGCTCAGTTGGTTGGAGTGTTGTCCCGTGCAACAAAAGGTTGAGGGTTCGATCCCTGGTCAGGGCATCCGGAAGGCAACCGATCAAGGTTTGTCTCTCACATCTGTGTTTTTCTCTTTGTCTCACTGTCTCTCTCTTCCCCTTCCTCTCTCTCTAAAATCAATACACATATCCTTGAGTGAAGATTAAAATTTTTTTTACTGGTTTTAATGGTTTTTTTTTTATTACTATTATTATTACAAGAAGAGATCAAAGCTACTGGTTTTAAAGAAAGCTCTCATCTCTGAGGTTTTGCTGTTTATCTCAAAGCAGGTAAAGCTTAAGAAAAGAAATATTATAGAGCGTTAAAAACTAGTTTTATTTTCTAGACTTTATGTCTTGCCCAGGGACTAGGACATATATGGAGAAAACCATTTCAGAAAAGGAGTTGAGGGACAGGGGAAAACACTAGCAGCTGGAGACTGCTTTCGCCCCCCAGAACTGTGCCCCCTTGAGCCCGTGCTCCGAGCTTTCAAAACCAGCAGGCAGCTTTAACTTCCAGGGCCTCTTGCTGTTCACTGTCCTACTCTTGGGAAAGCTGAAGAGTGGTTTCCAGCTGGAAACCATCCCCTCCCCTTCCACCCGCCCCCCCACTTCCTCCCGCCTCTTTCTCCGTCTCCCTCTCTCACACTTCTTGCATGTGCTCCTGAAGATGGAGAAATATGAAACAATTGAGCAAGTAGAAGAAGAAAGTGCGTCTTGAGAGGAAGGTCAGAAGCAAGCACATTATTAAACTATCATGAGTATGTGGAATAGATACATTTTTCTAAAACGTATAACGGAAATAAAGACATTTAACATTTAACAAAGAAATACATTTAACAAAGCAGGCCCTAACTCACGGGGTTCGGGGGGATGGAGAGGCAACCCAGGGTCCTCGGGCGCCGGCTTCTCTTCCATTCTTTCATCCGACGCTGTAGGCACTTCGTGGGCCCACCCCTCTACCGTCCCGGCACCGCGGCGCCTCGGCCACGTCCTCATTTTTATTCCCTGGCTCTGGAGGCTTCTTTTCTGGCTCTTGCGGGTCAGCAGAGTCTCGGACTCACCACTGACTCTGGCCACTCACCACTCACCACCGAGTACCCTCCGCGCTGGGGGATGTCCCAGGCCCTGCAGCTGCTCCCTGCTCGCTGTCGTTCTCACGCGACCTGGGCTCATCCTCGTTGCCTTTTTCGGTCGCATTCTCCTGGGTGGCTGCCTGCTGGCTCTCAGCGCCGGCCTCTCTCCGCACTGCCCCGCCCTCTGGCCCCATCCGGCCCGTGGGAACCGCTGCAGCTCTTTTCCAGGCCCCGGACAGGCACCTGCAGGTGTGGCGCACGCTCCGCTCCGTAAATAAATGCCTTCCACCTGCCCCGCCACCCTCACCCCCGCCCCCCGCCCCTTACTGGGAATGTCTCATTCCTCATCCCACCTCTGAGTTTGAAGAAGCATTTTATTCTCACCTAAGCACCACGGGAAAGGCTGATGCTCAAACTGTCGGTGAAGCAATAGCAGACACAGGTCTCCTGCTCTGATAAAATGTTACCGCTCGGCGCGGATGGCCCCATTTGATGAATGAGAACACGGTACAGATAAAACTTTATGTTGGTTTCCACACTTCTAATTAGTACATATTTAATTCACTAAATATGTTGGAAGTTGTTATTGGGTCCTAAAATGTTTTTTACTAAAAGAAGAATTTTCTCTTGTTAGTTTTAGGGAGACTTTAAGGACATGTTTAGTTCCACTGTTTCTTTCAATACCCCTTTGCCCTGTCCTCGTGCGCTGGGATCACGCGCGTGCCCACTTGCTCGCTAGGCCCCGCAGACCCCACACCTCCGGCCACCTCCTCCGGATGCCGGGCTCTGGCAACCAGGCTCCTGATTGATTGTGAATTTTGTTTTTAGACAGTTCTGCAAGGTCTGCTGCTAGGAGCCATATCAGTGTAAGTCTTTGATGCACATTTTCTTTTCTGTGTGTGCTTTTCCTCGATTGTATGTGAACAATAATCACGCTCTCTGGTTTTAGTTTCTATGATGCCGAGGAAGTGTTATGGGCCATAGCAGCAACCGCTCTGGTGACGTTATCGCTCACTTTATTTGCTCTTCAAACAAAAGTATGTATTATTGAAACAGACTTCTGTCCTAAGGGAGCACGTGGACTTGTTCCTCTGCCCCGCCCGCCCCATTCTCCTCCTTCACCCCCCTGTTCTCCTGCTCTGTGGGACTCACCTCCATGGCGTGCTTGCCTTCTGGCTTCTGGCTTTCCTAGTGGCCACACTGAAAAAGCAAAACGAAACAGGTGAAATTACTTTTAATAGTATGTTTCACTTAACCCAATATAGGCAAAGTATTACCATTTCAAAAGGTAATCAATATAACAAAAATATTAATGAGCTGGTTTATTTTTTTTTTAAATTGAAATCAAGTCCAGTGTGTATTTTATACTGACAGCACATCTCGCTTGGACTAGCCACGTTCCAAGTGTTCAGTACACACATGTATTGGAAGCTCACCTGTAGACGAGTTTTTAGCAGCATCGGAATCACCTGGGAAGCTGTGAAACCACAGACTCCTGGGCTCCAGCCCCGGACTTGCCGCGTCGAAGGTCTGGGATGGGGCCCAACAGTCCACATTTCCCAGGTGGTGTCGATGCTGCTGATCTGAGAACCCCACTGGGTGATACAGGACTTCAGGTTATACACCCTTGGTGTGTTAAGGCATTAGAAAAATACTCTTGCAAGAGAATGTTTTGGATTCAGCGGTCTTCTTTTGCTGCACAATCCCAGATTTTTCAGGTCAGCAGATGAATATTCCACTTTCGTTGAAAAAATCTTAATACCCCGCTCCAGGCTGATTTGGTCACTGATTTGTAAAGGCAAAACCAAAAAACATATTAATAAATTTCAACATTAAAAAAGAATCATTAACAAGTAATTTTTGAAAGTTTAGTATATATATATATTTTATTTTAAAGAAATGCAAACAAATGTGAAAAAGGTACACAGTTAAATACTTGGTCTATTTCATTTCATTAATGCATTCTCTGCACACACTTTAAAAAATATGAATAATGGTCCTTGCCACATAGCTCAGCTGGTTAGAGCGTCGTCTCCACATGCCAAGGGTGCGGGTTTGATCCCCAGTCCGGGCACATGCAAGAGTCAACCAGTGAATGCATTGTAAGTGGAACAACACTTCAAAGTTTCTCTCTCTCTCTCTCTTTGCCTCTCTCTGTCTTTGTCTCCCTCTCTTAAACCAATAAATAAAAATTTATTTAAATTAAAGAAATGAGCCCTGGCTGGTGTGGCTCAGTGGATTGAGTGCCAGCCTGCAAACCAAAGGGTCGCTGGTTCTATTCCCAGTCAGGGCACATGCCTGGGTTGCAGGCCAGGGCCCCAGCAGGAGGCATGCAAGATGCCACCACACATTGATGTTTCTCTCCCTCTCTTTCTCCCTCCCTTCCCTTCTCTAAAAATAAATAAATAAAAATCTTTTAAAAAATTCTTTTAAAAAATATGCACTGTATCCTCACTCTTCAAAAAAAAAAATTTAAAAAATGAAAATGTACGATCATAATTACAATCATATTATACATACAAATTTATATCCTACTCATTCAATGTACATTTTAATGAATACAAAATTAGAGTAGGTCAACAAACCCCCATGTACCCATTACCCAGTTGCAACAATTATCACCTTGTGGCTCCTATTATTTCATCCATAATCCTACCCTTGTTTTCCTCCAGTAGCAAGTCCCAGGCAATAGGACACTTTTTATGTCCTGCTTTCAGTCTTTGGGGCTAAGGGATTTCCATGGTTTTTGGAATTGACCTGGGTAAATTATTAGCAAAAGGACCAGTTTCTGGCCCTTACCAGTGTGGCTCAGTTGACTGGGTGTTGTCCAGCAAAGCAAAAAGTTGCCAGTTGGATTCCTGATCAGGGCACGTGCCTGGGTTGGGAATTTGGTCCCTGGTTGGGGCCCATAGGAGAGGCAACTGATGGATGTTTCTCACATTGATGTTTCTTTCCCTCTCTTTCTCCCTCCCTTCTCCTTTCTCTAAAAATAAATAAATAAAATCTAAAAAATAAGGAGGGCAGTTTCTGTTTATGGGGTGTAAAGTGCTTCTCTAAACACCTTGGAATTCTGTGTAGATGATGACTGAGTCGTGGGGTGTTATTTGTGTTTCCTCAGTTGGACTTCACGCTGCTAAATGGAGTGCTGTTCGCCGCTGTCATCATACTTTTAATCTATGGAGTGCTCTTAATCTTCGTCCGATCATATGTAAGTGGGATCTCATTTGGAAATCTCTGAGGATTGTTAGAAATCTCGGGGGAAGCGCTGGTGGTGGTAGAGTGGACCCTCTGAGAGGCAGACACCGAGAGGACAAATGGGAGGACTTTCATAGGAGGAATGTCTACCAGAGAAAGGGGTGGGGGAGCCGACAAAGGCTGGAAGATCTGTCAGACCACAACAGCAGATGCGACCCCACGTGAAGGACAAGGAAGGGAGTTGGGTGGGAGCACTCTAGACTATGGGAGGTTCAGCAAGGCCACCGGGAAGCCCTGGAGCACAAGCCAACCAGCCCAGTACAGTGGCCCCGTGCCTCCCAGGAAGGGCTCCGCTCCTCCCACCAATCCCACCAATGACTGAGAAGTGGAACGTGGCCCAGGAGCAACTGCGTGGGTGCTGTGTCTATTGCACTCCCCTCCAGGAGCGGGAGGGCTCTGAGGCCTGCCCTAGTGGCCGTCCAGTGTGGCATGGTGTTGTTGCGGGGGACCATGGACAGGGTGGCATGAAGGCCAGGTCTGTGGGACTCTGGCTCCCAAGCCCTTCCCACCACATGGTGGTGTGCGTGCACTACGGCTGGGGCGATGCAGAGGCAGGGGCGCAGGACCTGGCCCTGTGGCCCGGCCGCCAGTGGCCCCTGGGTAGACTGCCCCACTCCGAGGCCAGGTCCGCTGAGGACTGGCCTGAGGCCTCTGACCACTGGACTAACGTCCCAAGGCCAACTTGGTCCAATTGCTGAATTGAAGAGCTACTTTGGCAACAAGTGGACTTACTCAGTGATCTTCAGACAGAGAGCCAACCCTGGCTTAGCTTTGTGAATGACCATACAGGTCTACAGCTTGGGAGGTAGCATCTGTGTTTTAGAGATGAACTCAAAGACATCGCAAAGATATAGGCCACAGTGCTCCATTTACTGTTGATGGTAGCACAGACCTTGGTAGTAAGAATACAATTATTTGTTAGGTGGGTTCCACAGGTCTTTATAATAGATGCAGTTAAGAAACTGTTCTCTACTAGATAGATGGACCCTAGTTCCCATTCTAAATTTCCTTTCACAAGTATCTATCATATATTGTCTTACACATATGTATAAATGGAAGACTTTGACAGACCTTGTCCTAACTACATATGCTTGTTTGACTTTCGCGATTTTCAGTTCTTCAGATTTCAGTAATCAGGTGTTTCCTTACCATTAGCTCAGTCCGCAAACACTGTGCCTCACACAGGATTGCCGCCTCCTGATTCTCTCCCGCACTGAGACCCTTCTCTTGTTAGCAGGGTGCTTCGCCCACCCCTCTAGGGCCAGCTTTCTTGTCCTGAAGAGGGAATGCCATTGTTTTCCTCAGACGTCATATGCCACTTTCTTATCCTGTCCCCAGAGAGCCAAGCCCTGTGGCATTTAGGCCAGGCTCATATTCTGCTTAGGGAAGTTTTGGCTGCAAGGAACAAATAGACATTGCCCAGACTGGCTCGAGGCAAAGACCCAAGGGAACCCCATGGAACTTCTAGAGGAGCCAGGATTCACAGGAATGGAACTCCCCGCTTCCTCTTCTGGGTTGAGTTGCTTGGCCACCTCTGCTAGTACAGTGATAGCTGCAGCACCAGCTACTGGCACAACAACCTCTGCTGCTTGGATCCCTCTGTCCTGAAAATGGGTTCTGACTGGCCTGGAGCATCTGTTTGGTCCTGATCACATATAAGAGACTCCTGGTCATAAAGAGATTGGCTGCTGTTGGCGTGGATACATCCCCCCTCTCCTCAGTCAACTCTGACAATGGTGTGTGAGGGTCACCACGATCCCAGAAACCTGTTCCAAGAGCTGAGGGCAGAGCAGATTCTCTAGGAGGGCCTTGTGGATGGGGCAAAACTGGAACCACATCCAGTGCGTTCTGCTTGTCCTACCACTCCTGAGCACTTAAGGTTCCGGAAGAACCTTATTTGGCCAATGCGAGGCTAGTTTTCCTTTGCTTGCTGAATGGCACTGAGTGGATGCTGTTGACCAATTATGTTCGAATAAGATGAGTTTGCTCACAGATTCAGCTTTCTTAATATTGGTCCTAATCTAAAGCAGTGACCTAAGCGAGCCTTTCTGTTATTTCAAATCTTGTTCTTAATATTCAACCATTTCCTTTCTTTTTGCAGTGGTTGCATCTATTGTATGCTGGACTTGGAACTGTGCTTTTCTCATTTGTAAGTCCATTTCTCCCTCTCTTTGACCAAGAGTAGGGCAAGGCTGCCTAAGCCTTTGTGCTGAGCGTGCAGTCACACAGAGTCAGTGATTCACTGGGAAGAGCTGGAGACCTGCTTTTCCTCCTCCTCCTCCTCCTCCTCCTCCTCCTCCTCCTCCTCATTCTTTTATAATGCTGGCTTTTTAGAGCACTTTTAAGTTCAAGCAAAATCAAGAGGAAGGTACAGAGATTTCCCACCCACCCCTGCTCCCCACATGCACAGCCTCCCCACTATCAATGGCACTCACCAGAGTGGTGCATTTATTACACGGATGAACCCACACTGACATGTCAGTATCACCCGAAGTCCATAACTTACATTAGGAATCATTCTTGGTCTATGTTCTATGGGTCTGGATAAATGTACAATAAATGACATGCTCATTCGTTACGGTAACATGCAGAGTATTTTCACTGCCCTGAATATCCTCTGTGCCCTGCCTATTCATTCCTCCCCTAGCCCCTGACCTTTTTACTGTTTCCAAGTTTGGCCTTTTCTAGAATGTCATATAGATGCAATCATACAGTATGTAGCCTTTTCAGGTTGGCTTCTTTCACTTAGTAATGTGCACTTAAGGTTCATACGTGTCTTTTCATGGCTTGAAAGCCCATTTTGGTCTGGATGTGCCATGGTGCATGTACCCATCCACCTACTGAAGGACATCTTGGTTGCTCCCAAGTTTTGGCAATTTTGCATAAAGCTGCTCTAAACATCCACGCGCAGGTTTTTGTGTGAACATGTTTTCAACTCCTTTGGGTAAATACCAAGGAGTGTGACTGCTGGATCACATGGTAAAAATACAAACTTTTCCTCAAAGTTGCTGAAATCACACAGGGAGAGGGGAGGCGGAATGGGGAGAAGGGACTGAATGGTCCAGGGGAGGCACCTGCATTGGCACACCCCCAGCCTCTGGTTTGACTCTTTCCTCTGCCACTCTGATCAGGCACGTGACCTCCCCTTCTCAGAGGCTGTCAGCCTCACCTGCAGACGGGTTGTTCCCAAATTACATGACCTGATGTCTGCCGTGAACTGTGTGAGGCTGCCTATTCCTGCCCTCCTGCCCCTCCCTTCCCCCTGTTTCTTACAAGCCCCACTGGGAACCAGCACCCAGGGACAGCCACTACCTGAATCACAGGATGGGTCTCCCTGAAGTGGATGTTCGGAAATAGATGTTCCCAAATTCTCTACACTCTGATGGCTCTGCCTTACAGCACTGGGCTCTTAGGCTAGACTCTGGAGAGGAAGAAGTGAGGAACTGCTGACTCTTTCTCACGCAGCCTGGCTCTACTCACTTTGTAACGCAAAGCTAAGAGAGCGCGCTGACTTTTTTCTTGAGGTTTTTAGGAGCTCATGATTTTACCTATGGCAGCTGAGCTAAAATGTTTATTTTGGGGGTCATTTGACCACAAATCCCTCTTCTCCTCATTCTATCTTGGAAATGCTGACATGATCATGGAGCTCCAGGAATTCAGAATTATTGCTGTGTGCGAATCTCAATGTTGGGGACCCAGTTTATTTCCATTCTTTGTTCGGGGAGAACATGTGAGGAAATGGCAAACGCAAGGCATTTTGTAGTTCATCGTTGTGCCCAACATGCCCACCTGGCCCACATGGTTGACAAAAGGCACAAAGCTCCTGGAGTTGCCAAGCAAAGGCAGGCTCACAGATCTGGTCCCACCAGCTTCAGGACAAAGCGCTTGTGTTAATAGAGCACGAACTTGGGAACACCGTGAACGTTTGAGGCTGTAAGAATAACATATGTACCCGCAGAGTGACTTTCTGCAACGTATGCATTGATGTTAAAATAATTTCCCCTGATGGTGTAAGACAGTGATTGGATAGAAATGAACAATCTAAGTAGCTAATTTTTCTTTCTTTTCTTTAAGTACTTGGTCATGGATGTGCAGCTGATGGTGGGCGGGCGTCATCATCATTTTGACCTGAACCCTGAAGAGTATGTGTTTGCTACTCTGAACATCTACTTGGATATCATCAACCTTTTTCTTTTCATTTTGCAACTGATTGGACTGAGACACTAGTCTCACAGCCAAGCTTGGCTCGTGTTGACAAGAGGGAGGGAGGGTCATCTGCCAAGTGCTGCCAGGCTCAGATATGCAGAGGTGGCCATTTCCTAAGCACTTTTATTCTAAAAAAAATTTTCAAAGTGCTTATTTTTCTTTTCAAATGAAAGCAAACATTCGGTAGATGGTAGCTATAGCTGTTATATTTTAAGTTTCTTTGTCATGTTGCAAAACTTTCTGGGGGACATTTCTGATTTTTATAAATTTAAAGGATGAGCATGAAGATGACATGCAAACATTTGTAAGATGCCTGGTACTTTGTTGAAGATTCTCAAGCACTTCTGAAAGCTGTAAACAAAATCTATATGAATAAAATTGAATACAGAAACCTCTACTTACTCCATTCTCTTCTCCCGACTTGGACATACTGTGGGAATATTTTGGCACAGTCTAACTTTAAGAATAAGATAAATCGACGTATTCAGACTTTTTCCTGGATTCTAGAGTCAGACTGCGCAGAATAATAGTATCTGCCTGGTAGGGGTGGAGAGGATTAATGAAGTTCAGCTATGTGGAAGGCTCAGGACACATCGCTACCGGCTATTGTCACTGTCTCACCTGTACGTCTGGGCTTAACTCAGAGACTGACTACCTCCCCTGATTGTCTGTGACAACTGGCCTCCTTTGGAGTCCCATAATATTAAAGAAATATATTTCAGTTTTAATTGTGATAAAATACACGTAACAAAATTTACCATCTCAACCATTTTAAGTGTACAGTTCAGTAGCATTGTGTACTCACATTATTGGGCAACCAATCTCCCAAATTTTTTCACCTTGCAAAACTGAAACTCCATACCCATCAGTCAACAAGAAGCCCCATGTATTTTGCACTGACTTATTTATTCACACGTATCTCATCACCCATTTGATTATGTCCCTGAGGGACACAGACTGGACAGAGCTCGACAGCATAGGTGAATCGCGCAGGCAGCACAATTCAATGGACTCTCTCCGGAATTATTCATCATAGACCTTAACTTTTAAATTTGACTAAATTTACAGATCTCAAGTAAGGCATTTGAATTAAAGTATAAGCACTATAGTCACATTCACCTGACTATTTGATTACCTGTCATTTCAGATTAGCCCCATCTCCACTACTTTGGTAAAGTTTCTTACTGTGTTTATAATCTCATTATTATTAGCAAAATCCTGAAATGGAAGTAAGGTATGAAATGTGAGCAAGCAGAAGAGAAAGGAACTTTAAAGCCACCCAGCCAAAAAAACTTGGGAGGACACTCTAAAGCTTCTAGGTCTGGATATCTTAATAAACTTTACTATGTGTACGCAGAGGCTTTGGTACCAAAGTCATGGCAAATTCCACACAAGAAAACAAATTCAGCCGGAAAGGCTGAGGTTTTGCATATTCTCCTGGCATCAAGAAAATCTTCCTGAATATAATAGGGACATGCTGGCCAATTTCTTTTTCTTTTCTTTTTTTTTTTAATTATTTTTTAGAGAGAGGGAAAAAGAGGGAGAGAGAAACATCGATGTGAGTAACATCAGTTGCCTCTCCTACATGCCCTGCCCAGGGACCAAACCTGCAGGCCAGGCCTGCACCCTGATTGGGAATTGAACTGGAGACTTTTTGCTTTGTGGGACAATGCCCAGCCGAGCCACACCAGTCAGGGTTGGCCAGTTTCTTTCTCCACACTGGGCATGCCTGTTCTCTCAGCAATGTTCCCCCACCACACACAGACTATTGCATGAGTCTATTGTATGTACCATTACACAGTAGTGATGACTCAATTAAAAGAAATTCTAATGCTTATGACAATCTTTTGATTTTTGCATTTGGCAAAGAGTCTGAGCAAGACACACCTCTTAAGGCCAGCCAACAAAATGAGTAGATTAGTTTGTCCTCAATATTGGAAATTCATCTTTTGAGGAGAGCGTGCACAATTTGAATACCTGTGAGGAGTGATCCCAAATCTATTTGTAAATCAACTCAAGATGTCCACAAAGGGGCAGTGGAAGCCTAAAGGAAAGGAGAGAGGAGAATCCATAGGAGAGCTCAGGTTATACTTTCTATAACGCCCACAAATTTGGGGCCTATAATTTACTTTTGAATTTTGTTCTTTATATTTTCCCACGTTGAGTATCCTCTCATCTAGCTCTGGGCATGGAGAGAGAAGCACACCTATCGATGCACAAATGGTCCTAGTGAAACTGTTCCTGTTAAAGGTTAGTGCATAGGCAGCCATCTTCTTTTCAAAGTCAGTATGTTGCCCTGCACTCCTAGGCTCAAAGAATGTCAACAGCCAAATGTTGCGGCATATATCTGACATTATTGTAAGAATAAATGTTGGCAGTTTCAGTATCTTTTTTTTAAATTGAAGTCCTTGAAACAAATAAATCAATTGCTTAAGGTAGTTTCAATGGTCCCCAAGTTGTAGCACTACTAACAGCTCACAATATACTATGATAAAAATGATCTGATTGGTGTTCTAAGGCAGGGGTCAGCAAACTATTGTCTGCATGCCAAATCTGGTTTCTCTTTTTAATAAAAAGCTTTTGAGAATCAAGATGATGGGGAAGTGAGTGGAAGTCACACTGACCTCCTCCCAGGACCAATCTGGAATTACAACTAAATTGTGGAGAATCACCTGGAACAAACAACTGAACAGTAATAGCAGAGGAGCCTTATAATTTCGGACAGACAGAAGAATCAGCTTTAGCATTACCTAATTACCACATACCCTAGTCTCCAGCAAAAGCGGGGGCAGAGTGGGCTAGAGACGTCTGAGGAGAGACTGGGGGAGGAAGCTTAGGGGAGAGAAGAGAGTAGCTGGCCGGATCCTGGTCCTGACTCATCCCCCATACGGCAGCAGCCATCTTGCTCAGGCAGACCACTCCCCTGAGCGGCTATTGCATGAGAGGGCCCAATAGCCCCACCCCCAGGAGGGACCCTGCCCCACCCTGTGGTGTCTAAGCCAGCCTGCTGAGTGTAGAGTGAATAGATTAACAACTGAAGGAAACAGCCACAGACAGTAGATTCCTGGAAGTCTCGAACAGACCGCCTAAGGTCAGACAGGGTTAACATCTGACATCAGCAGAGGCAGATCCAGAAAGAAAAAACAGTGGTCTTCAACCAGAGAAGTTAACACCACAAAGTCAGGAAATCAAGACAGATCAACTTAAGAAGCAGAAGCAAAAAAGAAGAGTCTGAAAATAATGGGAAGACAAAGAAACACACCCCAGTCCAAGGGAAAGGAGGAATCCCCACAAAGAGAACTAAATGAAATAGAGGCAACTAAACTATCAGATACTGAGTTCAAAACAACAGTTCTAAGGAAGCTCAATGAGCTCAGTGAGCTCAGAGAGAATTACCAAAAACTACAGGGAAACTATGAGGAACATACTGCAAACTCCATTAGCATGAAAAAGGATATAGAAACTATCAACAAGAGGCAAGAGGAAATGAAGAATACATTTTCTGAATCGAAGAACACAGTAGAAGGAATCAAAAGCAGGCTAGATGAAGCTGAGGAACAAATCAGCAGCCTAGATGATAAGGTAGGAAAAAGGCTCCCAGAAAGCGCAAGAAAATGAAAAAAGACTCGAAAAGAATGAAGAGGCGTTTAGGGAAATGCAGGACAACCTGAAACGTAATAATATCCGGATAATAGGGATACCAGAAGGAGAAGAAGAGGAGGAAGGGATAGAGAGCCTGTTTGAAAAAGTAATGATAGAAAACTTCCTTAATTGGAGGAGAGAAAAAGTCACACAAGTCCAGGAAACACAGAGGGTGTCATTCAAGAGGAACCCAATGAGGCCCACTCCAAGGCACATCATCATTAAAATGGCAATTATCAAAGACAAATAGAGAATCCTAAAGGCAGCAAGGGAGAAACAGGCGGTAACATATAAGAGAGCCAGGGTGGGGCCAGCAGCTAACTTCTCAGCAGAAACACTACAAGCCAGAAGGGAATGGCAAGAAATATTCCAAGTCATGAAAAGCAAAGGCCTGGAACCAAAACTGCTCTACCCAGCAAGGCTCTCAATTAAATTGGAAGGTGAAATCAGGAGTTTCCCAGACAAGAAAAGGCTAAAAGAATACACCTTCACCAAACCAGCACTGAAAAATATGTTAAAGGGACTGCTTTAAGATGAAGAAAAAAGAGTCTATGAATACCCAGTTCCTTTCATAGTCACCAATACTTGATATTACCAATATTTTTAATACTCATTAATCTGATTGTGACAACAATGTACTATTTTGTTACTTTATTATTTGTTGAAACTAAACCTATGTTTGTGTGTTTCCTATTTCTATTATTTTAAAAAAAGCTTTAAATGACTGGTATTCTTTATCCATTTTCTGATTGTTTGCAGAATTTCTTCTCTAAAAAAAAAAGCCAAACAATTAATCTTTTTTTAGATGTGTTGCAAATAGTTTCCTATTCTATTACTTGTCCTTTAACTTTTTAAAATATGTATATTACTATGCAGTCTTAAATGTTTAATATAGTCATATTGTCAATATTTTACTTTATAGCTACTGGGTTCAACTATTTTACTTCAGGGTAAGAAAAATATTGCTTTGTATTTTCTCCTAAAACTCCTTAGGTTTTGCATATTGATTTTTAACTCAATTGCATATTTCTTGTAAAATGTGTGAAATAGGGCTCTATATTTATTTCAAGTAATAGTGGTCCATGAACCTTATTTGTTGAATAAGTCTTATTTTCCCCATTGATCTGCAATACCAATTTAATCATATATTACATTGTTAGACAGATACATATGTTTGTTTCTAGAATGCTCACTATATTTCATTGATCTACTTGATTATTTCTGTGCTGGTGTCATGTTGTTTTAATTGCTGAGACTTTATAATGGATTTAAATTTTTAAATATCTTATAATGGATTTTGACATTAAAAAACTAAATAAATAAAATCAATCTGCATTTAAAAAAACAGAAAGAAGGAACTCCTACCTTTTGTGACAATA